CAGTATATGTACGGTCACAATGTACGGTAAATCACAGTACAGTATACTGTATGAGTATTCCGTGTGTGTGACTGCAGACATTCTCCTGCCATGACAAACATGTAAGGCCATCTGCTGACATTGTAGTTGATATATTTAAACGCTAGCAACGTAGCATCACAAAAATGTTTTTCTGACCAAAACTAGCTCTAGCTCCGTGTGTTAGATCGCTACGCCAGCTATAATGTAATTACGTTTCGCGACTGACCGGCAAATCACCCGGAGTATACTGTCAATAGGTATTTTGTGTGTGAATGCAGACATTCTCCTGCTATGAGATACATGTATGCAAGGCCATCTGCTGATATTAGAGTTGATATATGGAAACTCTAGCAACTTAGTTAGCACAGTTAGCACTGTGTCAATGGCTTAGCAGTCCAACACAGTTTACACATTTAAACAGTCTTGTTTGATAAATACACAAATAACAATGCAAACTTACAGGTTGTATACCCAGATCTTCCCCTGCTCCAAACGGTCCAAACAAGCTGTGCATATCCGGCCTCAAACTGGGCAATGTTTTGGAAGCTTTCGTCTGTGAAATGCCGGTTCTTCGAACCTCTGAAGGAGGAACACGCCGCTGCTGGTGTGGCCATAGCTCTTCGGGATTGGTCCATTTCGTTCCGGGTACCGCATGACATCAGGCGGTACCCGGAACTAAATGGAAGACTCAAATGGGCAGTGACGTATCTCCAACGAGGCGTTTTGGGGAGGTATTTTCTGTGTTAGAGTTTTACTCGCTACAGGGTGTACTTTGAGGGTTTTGACTCTGCACACCGTTTACATGCATAAAAACCTTCATAACACACAAGGGGACGGGTAATAACCGGAAAAGCATGACATGGGAGCTTTATTAATCGGTATTTGTTGCATGTTGAGAATGACTCAACTGATAACCACAGATTGGTAAAATTCCTGGGGCACTTTCTTGTTCATGTATTCATCATTGATAGTTAGTTATTTGCTTTTCACTTTTGTCTAGCAAGATTGCCAAAAGAAAAGCTGAATTCAAAAGACACTTGCAGTCATGAAAAGGTTTGGATATTTGAAAAGTCTTTGTATATTGTAATAATTATTGTAAGATGTAAATTATCCAGTTTAATCGAAGTATTAAATAATGGTTTCATTTAGATACATAGTGGCCAATTTATAATCAGACTACAAAAAGTGTGGTTTGTGCTGCTTATCACTATGAGTGCACTTTTTTTACATCAATCAAGGACATTTTAAAAATAATGTCACATACTGTAGCTAGTAACCTGGTCAACCACCACCGACAATGCTAGAATTCTTTAGGCTGAGTTATGCGCTTTTTGAGGTATCTTATAATTATGGCATGTCAAGCTCATGCATGGTCGTCACATTATATTTGTATGTTGAAAATGACTCTACTTTTACAGAATAGTAAAGTTCCTTGGGCACTTTCTTGTTCATGAACTCAGCATTGAAGGTGTCAATCACAAATGTCAGACATCTTCTCACAGCCATCAATAACCCTTCAAGATCTCGTTTTTCGTCATAAAACTGAAAATATTTCAAGCTGACAGGAACATTCAGGTATCATGAGAAAAGGACCCCCCTTCTCTCCCCCCCTCCAGAATAGATCCTCTGCTTGCAGTCTGACTGAAGAGAAACAACACAACTCTGTGAGTATTCTATCCTTTTATTATGATAGATGGGTTCATATATATATTACTGTGCAAGAATAGTTTGATGCATAAAGGAGTTTGAACTTTACTGGTTGTTAGGAAAATATCACTCGACACCAGGTTGAGAATCAATAATCAGGTTCTAGTTTATTCTTGCAAGAAGGAGCAGAGTTAAATCACATACAAAGGATATGGGTTAACTCACACACATGAGGTATGTTGCTCAAAGGAGCAGCAAAAAACATCAGGCTTATATAGTCCAAAACACGGAGAGCAAAGCCGTAAAACGAGGTGGGGGTGCCGGAATGTCAGCCGCGGGTGTCGGAAAGCTGGATCATCTGGATGGGTCATCTGCGACTTCTGGACTCCCAGCAATGTGAGATAATATAGGAGACAACAAGTATGTGCCTGTCTCCTCAGATTACTGTATATCAACAACCTGAAATGCTCTGCCTTCTGTTATCATAAAGAGGCAGCTGCAAGGCCGTACACGTCTCAGAGCCACACATGATATCAGTGCATTAAAACAACCCAAAGAGAGGAGAAAACAGTATTTCTCCAACATATCCCTCCTGTTTATACTACGGAATAACATAGAACTTGGAAAATACAAATGATTATAAAGCTTAAAAACTCATATACAAAAGTACCCAAACGGCTGAGGTAGGTCAATTGTATCAAAACATTGAGGCAGATCACGCCAGTAGTTCATCACATTTAATTGCACAGAAATTGATTTATTCTAAAAATTTCTCCCACCATGATTGAATGTATAAGCATAAAAGGATATAAATCACTCACACAAAACACTGTCTCTATTCAACTAGGAACGGCCTCCATCATCATCACTATGTATCTTCTCTCGATTTTCTACATGTGAGTCATTGTGTTATTACAGCCCAGTGTTTTCCTTTCCGTCCAGGAACCAGGAACCAGGAACCAGGAACCAGGAACCAGGAACCAGGAACCAGGAACCAGGAACCAGGAACCAGGAACCAGGAACTCCCTGGTCAAACAAGGAGGTGAGGAATAAGTCATCGTCATGGAAATTGCCATCCGGCCCTATCTCCTGGTAGTACTCGCGAGCTGAGCTCTGGTGATTCATTAGCATTAGGTTCTGTTTTGTCAGGGAAGTTTCGATCAGTCTCATCATTAGCCCTCTCAGACAGGGTATGCAGCAGCATCCACATACTGTGAGTATCGCCACAGCAATCATCAAAGAGGTGAACAAAGACAAAGCTAAATTCTTCCATTTCCCAAACCAAGATCCCAATATTTTGCTGAAAGGATCCTCAAATCCTGAATTCTCGGCCAGCTCTACTGAAAGGGAATTTAAACCCTTTAAAGCTCTGGTCAAAGTTCCGTCTGGGGCAGTGTTATTCGGGATAAAAGTGCAACATGAAGAGCCAAACATCTTACACACCCCTCCCCTAATCCGCCAGTAAATCCAGCATGTATTGCCTTACACTATGAGATGCCGCCATTGAAGACAGATACTCAGTATGCGCCACCTTATTTCACCCCTTATGCTGCTAACTATACTTGTTTTTACAGAGAGAGCGACCCGAGTGTGAGTGTAGGAGACCTGCCTTGGTGCAAGGAGACACACAACGTCACGGTCACAACAGGAGGGTACAAGGCGTCTACACATGATATCAGTGCATTAAAACAACCCAAAGAGAGGAGAAAACAGTATTTCTCCAACACTGGTAATATGTGCTAAAACTGTATTTTTTAAATGGATCGAACTCTGACTTTCTTTTTGTTGCAGAATCATGAGCAGAAACTTCTTGTCCAAAAATGATGAGCTTTTCAAGGGAGACCATCTGGTGTCCGGCAACGGAGAGTTTAAGGCTATCTTCCAGGTGAGTGACTCAGAATATGTGTGCACTTGAGACTCTTATCAGGATGCATGATACAAAAGCAATGGTCTTTAGAGCAAACCGTTAACAAGCGTCTCTGTTTCTGCTGCAGGATGATGGAAACTTTGTGGTCTATGGCTGGCAGCCTGTGTGGGCTTCAGACACTGCAGGGTCATCCCCTTTCCGCCTGATCATGCAGGAGGACTGCAACCTGGTCATGTACGACGAGGGGGGCAAAGCCATGTGGCACACAAACACCTCCAAATCTGACTGCAACATGTGCCGCCTTCAGCTGACCAATGAGGGCAAACTGGTGGTGAACAAGGAACAAGATGAAGTCTGGAACTCTGCTAAATCCACTGGCATGAAGTGATCCATTGTGTTTGGAAATCACGTTTTGAGGTCCATTTGATTCACCATTTAACATGTTATCTAATCAAAAAACCAAACGTTCACAATGCATGAATGAGCTTTCTTTTCTGTTTGTAGTGACCTATGTTCTGGCTAAATGGTGTGTTGAACAAAGGGACTGTCATTGATGTATGTGAAAGAGGGGCACATACAGTATGTTCTATATATACTCAGAGATCAAAACATTAACCCCTTTACTGATAATAGGAGCTTTACCTATCTGTGATAATGAGCAGACTCACTTTACAGAGGAGATGAAAATGCATGAGCTTGAAGCTGTCATTCACAAGCAGTCAGGAAAGATATACATTGTGTTAAAAGCATTAACGTCTTTCTCTTAATTTAGAAAACATCATAATCTATCTGTTTTATTACTATTTCCAAATTAACATATCATGATAAAACTAGGTTTAAAAGTACGTATAAGAGGGGTAAAAGGACACCAAGACTAGGTTACACAGAGCTCAAAGGATACTCAAATAAGGTAATAACAGAATTGAGATAACCTCTAGTAAAAGGCAAGTGCTTGACTTTTATGTCAGGATGTGTATTAAAATCCAATCAGACAAAGACAATAGGAGAGTGAGTTGTAACTAGTTTGAAGATTAAGCCACCATTAATTTACCAAAGGTAAAGTAAATCTTATACAGTAACTTTATACAATGATCTGCAACAGTGTTATAGGTTAATGGAGAGCGTAGGAGAGTAGGATGTCTACCTCCCTCTCTGCATGTGTCCCCGTCAGTGTGACAGAGCTCTTTTTTCTATAAAGGCAGCAAATGAAAGCATTTTGACATTTAATATACTATCAGCTTTAATTAGCCAACAATAAACCTGTACTACTTTTCTGAAACGTTCTACTTGTAATGCAAATATCTTGCTATAGAAGAAAGGTAGTTGTATCAGAATTCTCTAGTTACCCTCATAAATGAATACACACGCTAATGAGTCATGTATTATGTTGGTTTAGCGTTCCACATAAGATGCAGTTCTGATTAAAAAAGGAATGGCATAGCACTCCCTCTCTGACCCCCCCTTCTCTCCCCACCTCCAGCTTGGGTGAATAAAAAGCAGGTGCATTTCCCTCTCAGGCACTTCACTCCTTTTCCTCTTCTTGCAGTCTGACTGGTGCAATCTCTGTAAGTATTCTTTATTTACATCATGATAGAAGGGTTCATACATTTTTGTTTAAAAGATAGTTTGGTGCATGAAGGAATTAATGCAATTTACTAGTTAGCATATTACGTTTTCTGGGTACAAACTAATGTAATGTAAAACATAATTACTATTCAGCGTATACAAAAATCACTGGTGGTGGTAAAAATAAAATGGCGAACCCACTGACAAAATAGGTTTTCCAAGCATTTTTTATGTTCTAAATGTTAATAATAATTTATATGTTTTCTTTTTGTTGCAGAATCATGAGCAGAAACTTCTTGTCCGGAAATGATGAGCTCCGCAAGGGAGACTCTCTGGTGTCCAACAACGGACGGTTTAAGGCTGTCTTCCAGGTGAGTGACTCAGAATATGTGTGCACTTGAGACTCTTATCAGGATTCATGATACAAATGCAATGATCTCAACAAATGTTAAGGCAAAAATATGAGAACATCAGTTTTGAAAGCGCACAGTTAACAGCCAGACGTCTCTGTTTCTGCTGCAGGAGGATGGTAACTTTGTGGTCTATGGCTGGACGCCTGTCTGGGCTTCAGACACTTATGGATCAGACGCTTTCCGCCTGATCATGCAGAATGACTGCAACCTGGTCATATACAACAATGGTGGCAAAGCCTTGTGGGATACCAGGTCTAACGGAGCTAAGACTGACGTGTGCCGCCTTCAGCTGACCGATGATGGCAAACTGGTGGTGAGCAAGGCTGCTGAAGTAGTCTGGACCGCTTCTAAATAAGGCATGAAGTTATCCATGATGTATGTGAAAGTCATGTTTTGGAAGTCAATTTGTCACCAGTAAAACATGCCTGTTATGGGATTCAATAAAACTAAATTCACAATGCATAATAAGTTTTTCCTTCTTTTTGTAGAGACAATTAAGCTAGAACATAGGTTCTAGCTTAATTGTGTGTTGAATCTCCCGCTTATTTGGACTCCAGGAATAGGAAAAGGGGTAGCCTTTGTATACCTAAGCTAGGGGTGCATTTACTAATGACAATAGCATTGATGTGTGTGAAAGAGGGAGACGTACATGTATGTTAAATATTTTTGGATAAGATAGAACTTTATTGATCCCAATTTGGGAAATGTTTGTGTTGCAGCAGCATACAAAGACATGGCATTGTACAATACAAATTGAGTGATTGAACCACTTACCTATACAGATGGTAGAAGGAGCCTTATCTGTGATAATCAGTGGCAGGGTGTTACTGTTTGAGTTGACTTGGAAAGTATGATTCTCGAGAACAGAATGCTGTATAAATAATATTCTATGAGCCTTACATGACAGAAGAGAGTCGATCAATGACCATTGTCATATCATAGCTTTATTATCTTTTGACAGAGTCATTTGTCCATAATCTCATGACAGAACATGTATAAACAAACTGTCTCTTTTTTTCTTCTTTATTTATTTTCTTGAATATATGTTTCGGTTTCTTGGCAGCAATGACTATTCTAATGTGCAATTACACCTTTTTTTAAAAAGTGATTGTGAAATGGCTGTAGGAATATAAAACAAGGTTTATTTGTATTATTGATACAGCCTTATTGATATCACTATCCATTCTATGCCTTTTGTCATGGAGAGTGCTTGTCTGTTTTTTTTATCAACCAATAACACATTTTCAAATGAATGTCACCTAGCTAGTTACCTGATAAACCACACCTTCTCACTAAGGTACAAGTGTCTGTCCTTTCCTTTCTCACAGTTCTTTGAGAAGTCTTTTAAATCCCTCCTAAGAGGACAATGGTAGAATTATTTAGGCTGAGTTCTGACCTTTCTGACAGAAGTACTGTTTTCCGCTTTAAGTGCTGCTGACAATGAAGCACTTAGAAAATGCAGTGTTTTTGGTAAACTGACTGTTAGGTATTTTTTCTGTCACGCTACAAACTTCCTGCCCATAATAATGATGAGCTTTATATCAAGGTTATGCTTGTCTCTCCCTTCAGTAGTGTTTTATTTGTCAGATCAATTTGGGATTAACAAAGTATATTTCATCTTAAATTAATCGGTATTTGTTGCATGTTGAGAATGACTCCACTGATAACCACAGATTGGTACAATTCCTGGGGCACTTTCTTGTTCATGTATTCATCATTGATAGCTAGTTATTTGCTTTTCACTTTTGTCTAGCAAGATTGCAAAACAGTTAATTCAAAAGGCACTGTCACGATCTGTCTGTGTTGTGTTTTGTCTTGTCTTTTTCTGGTTTCCTGTTTTGTTTTGAAATGTTTTCCTCGTGTCTTCTCTGTTCCTTCTTCCTGTGTTTGCCTTCCTGTCTTAGTTTCCCTGGTGTGTCTGATTGTTTGATTGTGTTCACCTGTTGCCCTTGTGTTTCTGCCTCCCTTACCCCAGCTGTGTCTCGTCTTGTGATTACCCCTCTCTGTATTTAGTCTAGTCTTCCCCTGTGTGCCTGGTCGGTTCATTGTTGGTTTTTCCTGTCTTCCTCCATGTCAGTCATGTTTGTTTCTCCTGTCTCCCACCATGTTGGTCACGGTCAGTTTCTGTAGAACCTATGTGTTTCATGCCATGCTATTGTGCAGCTTTTTGGAATAAAGCTCGTGTTTGTTTCTAGACCTTGTTACTTTGTTTTATAGTCTGCATTTGGGTCCTACCCTTTCCACGCATTCATTACAGAATGAACCGACCAATTATGGACCCAGCGGATTATGTTTTTGATTTTGATGCTGAATTGCTTTCTCTGGATTACTCCCTTCGATGTCTTTATACTGTGTGGAGTGGAACCTCGACTAGCAGGGAGAAAGAGGCTGTCCTGAAAAGAGCACAAATGGAGGTGGATAATGTGCTGTGGAGCTCTTTGCCTGAATTTCTCAGAGTTTTTACTAGCAGCCCTGAGTGCCAGCTTCAAGCCTCAAACCCCTTCTCGGGATCCCGCCTTGCCTTAGGAGGTCCACGGAGCCTCCAAAGGGTCTCTAGGAGACGCAAGGCCAGGATTCAAGCCGTGGCCCCAGCAGCCATGGTTCCGGCTCCAGAACCGGCCCACACAGCCATGGTTCCGGCTCCAGAACCGGCCCATACAGCCATGGTTCCAGCCCCAGTTCTGGCCCCAGCAGCCATGGTTCCGGCCTCTGTTCCGGTCCAGCACGCCATTTCCCATCAGGGAAATCTTCTGGGCCAACATGAGCAGATGATGCGAGCCTTAGTTGAAAGCCAGCAGTCCTTGGCTCGTCTCCTGTTGGCTCTACGGCCGACGCCTACCCTATGTCTTGTGCTGTTGGAGGTCCCGCCGACTACTCTTCTGCCGGGGGTCTTGCCAACCCTATGTCCTGTGCCGTTGGGGGTTCCGCTGAGGGTCCTGCCAACTCCACGTCCAGTATCGTTGGGGGTCCTGCCGACACCTGTTCCGCTGTGGGTCCTTCCAACCCCATGTCCTGTCCCGTTGGGGGTCCTGCCGACTACTGCTCCGCCGGGTTTCCTGCCAACACCATATCCTGTCCTGTTGGGGGTCCCGCCGACACCTGCTCCGCCAGATTTCCTGCCAACACCATATCCTGTCCTGTTGGGGGTCCCGCCGACACCATGTCCTGTCCTGTTGGGGGTCCCGCCGACACCTGTCCCGCCGGGGGTCCTGCCAGCTCCATGTTCTGTTCTGTTGGGGGTCCCGCCGACACCTGTCCTGCCGGGGGTCCTGCCAACTCTGTGTCCTGTCCTGTTGGAGGTCCCGCCGACACCTGTTCCACCGGGGGTCCTGCCAACTCTGTGTCCTGTTCCGTTGGGGGTCCAGTCGACACCAGCCCTTGCTCCATCCGGGGTCCCATTGACACCAGCCCATGTCATGTTCAGGACCCCGTCTACGCCTGTCCCGTCGGCTCCGGTTCCTGTCCGGCCGATACTGGGTCCTGCTCGTCCTCCGGAGCTGTCCCGTCGGCGCCTTCCTGCCCGTCCTCCGGAGCTGTCTCGTCGCCGCCTTCTTGTTCGCCCTCGAGCCCGGCCCCCTGAGTGCCGCAGTCTTCGCCCTCGAGCCCGGCCTCCTGAGTTCCCCAGCCGCGGTCTTCGCCCTCGAGCCCGGCCCCCTGACTCTTCCAGCCGTGGCCTTCGCCCCTTTTTGGACTCTGCCTTGCCCCCGGGCCGTCCGCCCGGGACCCCTTTCGGGCCCGTCCTCCGGACCCCCTCCGCCCACCCTTTTGGAAGTGTTGGACTGTTTTTTGGGACGTCTGGGATCCGTCCCTTGAGGGGGGGGGTTATGTCACGATCTGTCTGTGTTGTGTTTTGTCTTGTCTTTTTCTGGTTTCCTGTTTTGTTTTGAAATGTTTTCCTCGTGTCTTCTCTGTTCCTTCTTCCTGTGTTTGCCTTCCTGTCTTAGTTTCCCTGGTGTGTCTGATTGTTTGATTGTGTTCACCTGTTGCCCTTGTGTTTCTGCCTCCCTTACCCCAGCTGTGTCTCGTCTTGTGATTACCCCTCTCTGTATTTAGTCTTGTCTTCCCCTGTGTGCCTGGTCGGTTCATTGTTGGTTTTTCCTGTCTTCCTCCATGTCAGTCATGTTTGTTTCTCCTGTCTCCCACCATGTTGGTCACGGTCAGTTTCTGTAGAACCTATGTGTTTCATGCCATGCTATTGTGCAGCTTTTTGGAATAAAGCTTGTGTTTGTTTCTAGACCTTGTTACTTTGTTTTATAGTCTGCATTTGGGTCCTACCCTTTCCACGCATTCCTTACAGGCACTTGCAGTCATGAAAAAGGTTTGGATATTTGAAAAGTCTTTGTATATTGTAAGATGTAAATTATTCCAGTTTATTGGAAGTATTAAATAACGGTTTTATTCAGATACAGATCGGCAGTAGTTCGTTATCTATCCCTGCCTCCCTCTTTTTACAGTGTTTGAGTGTCTAGCCTTGTACGTGCTATGATTGGGGTTTTAGTTGTGAGTTTTTGAAGGTTCACACTTTAAAAACTCAATATTCTCATTGTATGCTTGTATTCCCAAATGTTTGTATTATGTCATTTGGATAACTTTCCTTCCAAATGAACATAGTGGCCAATTTATAATTAGACTGGTATTAACAATTAAGGTTAGCCTACAGAAATTGTGGTTTGCGCTGCTTATCACTAAGAGTGCACTCTTTTTTTTTTTAATAAACCCAAGGCACATTTAAAAAATAATGTCACATAGCTAGTAACCTGCTCAGGTAAAAGTGAGATACGACAATGCTATAATTCTTTAGGCTGAGTTACGAGCTTTTTGAGGTATCTTGTAATTATGGCATGTCAAGCTCACCTTATATTTGCATGTTGAAAATGACTCTACTACTTTTACAGAATAGTATAGTCTTCTCACAGCCATCAATAACCCTTCACAAATCTTGTTTTTGGTCATAAAACTCAAAAATATTTCAAGCTGACAGGAACATTCAGGTATCATGAGAAAAGGAAAGGCCTAGCACTCCCTCTCTAGCCCACCTTCTCTCCCCCCCTCCAGAATAGATGTATACATATTGGGTGAATTTCACTCTCTGGCACTTCACTCCTTTTCCTCTGCTTGCAGTCTGACTGAAGAGAAAACACCACAACACTGTGAGTATTCTATACTTTTATTATAATAGATGGGTTCATAATATTACTGTGCAAGAATAGTTTGAGGCATAATGGAGTTCTTTATTGGTTAAATTGTTCTGCTGAAATTGTTTATGTTGGTATGGACTAATGTAAGGGGAAAAATAACTACTCTTCAGTGAATACAAATCACTGGTGGTTATACAAATATAATAGGCAAACCAACTCACAAAACTTGTGTTTTCCAAGCATTTTCAGTGTTTTAAAGGGATATAACACTGACTTTCTTTTTGTTGCAGAATCATGAGCAGAAACTTCTTGTTCAAAAATGATGAGCTCCGCAAGGGAGATTATTATTATTAATCTGCTTTACTTGTTGATTGACATATATACATATATATATACACACATACATACACACACATACACATATATACATATACTTGTTACGTAATCAAATAAACAAACGTTCACAATGCATATATGAGTTTTTGTTCTGTTTGTTCTATGTTCTGGCTAAATGGTGTGTTGAACAAAGGGACTGTCATTGATGTATGTGAAAGAGGGGCACATACAGTATGTTCTATATATACTCAGAGATCAAAACATTAACCACTTTACTGATAATAGGAGCTTTATCTGTGATAATGATTCACTTTAGAGAGGAGATGAACATCCATGAGCTTGAAGCTGTCATTCATAAGCAACGTCAGGAAAGATATACCTTGTGTTAAAAGGATTAACGTCTTTCTCTTAGTTTAGAAAATATAAAATCTATCTGTTTAATTACTATTTCCAAATTAACATATGATAACACTAGGTTTAAAAATACGTATAAGACGGGTAAAAGGACACCAAGACTAGGTTACACAGAGCTCAAAGGATACTCATAAGGTAATGACAGAAGTGAGATATCCTCTAGTAAAAGGCAAGTGCTTGACTTTTATGTCAGGATGTGTATTATAATCCAATCAGACATGTGTCCCCGTCAGTGTGACAGAGCTCTTTTTTCTATAAAGGCAGCAAATGAAAGCATTTTGACATTTAATATACTATCAGCTTTAATTAGCCAACAATAAACCTGTACTACTTTTCTGAAGCGTTCTACTTGTAATTCAAATATCTTGTATAGAAGAAGGGTAGTTGTATCAGAATGACTATCAGCTACAGTGGGGAAAGCTGAAATAGGTGTTTGCATTAACTGCAATTTCAAATTCGCCTTTTAAAGACTAAAACTCTTCATACACTACATTCACATGGGGCTGACTGTCTTAAAGGTAGACCAACTGTCTTGGACTTTAATTTTAAGAAAGAGGAATCAAAATCAGTAATTTAGGTGAAAACAGAAGTCCAGTTAGGGCTGACGACAATGGTCACAAGGCATTGTGTGTGTTATTTTCTCACCATCTTCCCTCTCTATAGCTGTAATGTCTACGTAAGCACTTGATCCTTTGATGGCCCGATTAACAAAATGAGAGCCGTTATCGCTCGTTCATGTACGACTCCAAAAGAGTACTTGAGTCCGTCCAAATGGTGACATCGCAGTAGTTAAAAGCAAACCAACATCTGGATGTGCTGGGACACTGAATAATGTGTTGGAGAGATCCCCAATGGAAAACTATTTAGCATCAGAGGGCACTTGTGACAAAATAGTGTAAGCGTTTGGCACATTAGGGGCTCTTGGTTGGACTGCTGCATTTACTGCTCTCAAATCCTGCTCAAACCTCCACTCTTTCTCTCTGATTGTCTTCACTGAGATAAAGGGAGTTCTTACTGGTGAATCATTACAGGGAACAATTACTCCTGCCTGTCAAAGAGAATCAAACAAGTGTTATTCCTTCAATATCCTCCTGCTTGAAAGGATATTGTTGTTTGCTTGGCCTGTGAGCAAATGTGGGTCTTATAAGTACTAAGTCATACTTCCCCTGGGCCCATAGTGAGGAGTGGACTTCCTTCATGGCTGTGGGGAGAGATGCAGTCAGATAAGAATGTGTGTGTGTGTGTATGGAGTTGCTTTTCCTTAGAAACGAACCCAGGTCTCACCACATTAACGGCTCATTGAGGATCATGTTTCATGCCAGCAAAACTTAACCAAGAGTGCTGTAATCTCTGTCCGTTGGCAGATAGCACTGTTTTCTTGGTCAAAGTATCAGCGCTTTATCAGGAACTAAGAGTCAGTGAAAGTATTGCTACACACCAGTGAGAGGGCACAAGTTCCTCTAAAATACTGTCCAAGAAAGTGGACGTTTTACAGAACAGAAATACGTGCTTTTCGTCTTACCAAACTCCGCAAAACACATTGACAAATCATTGTTCTATAATGAGATTTCAGGGAGAGAGTTCAGACACACCAGGATGACAGTCTGTACAAAGTGATCTTACAAACCTCACAGGAGGAACATTTAAACACTTTTTTACATGTTTGAAATAATAAACAAACAGCTTAAAAATATTCAGCTTAAGGTGGTAAAATATGAATCAATTAAAAGTTTAAACTATTTTGTTATTCAATTGCCCTCTCAATGGCATAATGACCAGTATTCACTTTTTGGCAATGATAAAGTATAAGTAATTAGCAGATTAAATGTGAAAAGAAACATTAATGTAAGCAGTAAAACATTCAAACACATGATCATTTTGATATAATTCCTGGCATAGAAACAGCAGATGGCACAACAGTCTTACTCTCATGTTCATTTGTAGCTGTTCTTCGGTGAGGAATAAGTCATCGTCATGGAAATTGCCATCCGGCCCTATCTCCTGGTAGTACTCGCGAGCTGAGCTCTGGTGATTCATTAGCATTAGGTTCTGTTTTGTCAGGGAAGTTTCGATCAGTCTCATCATTAGCCCTCTCAGACAGGGTATGCAGCAGCATCCACATACTGTGAGTATCGCCACAGCAATCATCAAAGAGGTGAACAAAGACAAAGCTAAATTCTTCCATTTCCCAAACCAAGATCCCAATATTTTGCTGAAAGGATCCTCAAATCCTGAATTCTCGGCCAGCTCTACTGAAAGGGAAGTTAAACCCTTTAAAGCTCTGGTCAAAGTTCCGTCTGGGGCAGTGTTATTCGGGATAAAAGTGCAACATGAAGAGCCAAACATCTTACACAGCCCTCCCCTAATCCGCCAGTAAATCCAGCATGTATTGCCTTACACTATGAGATGCCGCCATTGAAGACAGATACTCAGTATGCGCCACCTTATTTCACCCCTTATGCTGCTAACTATACTTGTTTTTACAGAGAGAGCGACCCGAGTGTGAGTGTAGGAGACCTGCCTTGGTGCAAGGAGACACACAACGTCACGGTCACAACAGGAGGGTACAAGGCGTCTACACATGATATCAGTGCATTAAAACAACCCAAAGAGAGGAGAAAACAGTATTTCTCCAACACTGGTAATATGTGCTAAAACTGTATTTTTTAAATGGATCGAACTCTGACTTTCTTTTTGTTGCAGAATCATGAGCAGAAACTTCTTGTCCAAAAATGATGAGCTTTTCATGGAAGACCATCTGGTGTCCGGCAACGGAGAGTTTAAGGCTATCTTCCAGGTGAGTGACTCAGAATATGTGTGCACTTGAGACTCTTATCAGGATGCATGATACAAAAGCAATGATCTTTAGAGCAAACCGTTAACAAGCGTCTCTGTTTCTGCTGCAGGATGATGGAAACTTTGTGGTCTATGGCTGGCAGCCTGTGTGGGCTTCAGACACTGCAGGGTCATCCCCTTTCCGCCTGATCATGCAGGAGGACTGCAACCTGGTCATGTACGACGATGGGGGCAAAGCCATGTGGCACACAAACACCTCCAAATCTGACTGCAACATGTGCCGCCTTCAGCTGACCGATGAGGGCAAACTGGTGGTGAACAAGGAACAAGATGAAGTCTGGAACTCTGCTAAATCCACTGGCATGAAGTGATCCATTGTGTTTGGAAATCACGTTTTGAGGTCCATTTGATTCACCATTTAACATGTCTGTTATCTAATCAAAAAACCAAACGTTCACAATGCATGAATGAGCTTTCTTTTCTGTTTGTAGTGACCTATGTTCTGGCTAAATGGTGTGTTGAACAAAGGGACTGTCATTGATGTATGTGAAAGAGGGGCACATACAGTATGTTCTATATATACTCAGAGATCAAAACATTAACCCCTTTACTGATAATAGGAGCTTTATCTGTGATAATGAGCAGACTCACTTTACAGAGGGGATGAAAATGCATGAGCTTGAAGCTGTCATTCATAAGCAGTCAGGAAAGATATACATTGTGTTAAAAGCATTAACGTCTTTCTCTTAGTTTAGAAAACATCATAATCTATCTGTTTTATTACTATTTCCAAATGAACATATCATGATAAAACTAGGTTTAAAAGTACGTATAAGAGGGGTAAAAGGACACCAAGACTAGGTTACACAGAGCTCAAAGGATACTCAAATAAGGTAATAACAGAATTGAGATAACCTCTAGTAAAAGGCAAGTGCTTGACTTTTATGTCAGGATGTGTATTAAAATCCAATCAGACAAAGACAATAGGAGAGTGAGTTGTAACTAGTTTGAAGATTAAGCCACCATTAATTTACCAAAGGTAAAGTAAATCTTATACAGTAACTTTATACAATGATCTGCAACAGTGTTATAGGTTAATGGAGAGCGTAGGAGAGTAGGATGTCTACCTCCCTCTCTGCATGTGTCCCCGTCAGTGTGACAGAGCTCTTTTTTCTATAAAGGCAGCAAATGAAAGCATTTTGACATTTAATATACTGTATCAGTTTAATTAGCCAACAATAAACCTGTACTACTTTTCTGAAACGTTCTACTTGTAATGCAAATATCTTGCTATAGAAGAAAGGTAGTTGTATCAGAATTCTCTAGTTACCCTCATAAATGAATATACACGCTAATGAGTCATGTATTATGTTGGTTTAGCGTTCCACATAAGATGCAGTTCTGATTAAAAAAGGAATGGCATTGCACTCCCTCTCTGACCCCCCCTTCTCTCCCCACCTCCAGCTTGGGTGAATAAAAAGCGGGTGCATTTCCCTCTCAGGCACTTCACTCCTTTTCCTCTTCTTGCAGTCTGACTGGTGCAATCTCTGTAAGTATTCTTTATTTACATCATGATAGAAGGATTCATACATTTTTGTTTAAAAGATAGTTTGGTGCATGAAGGAATTAATGCAATTTACTAGTTAGCATATTACGTTTTCTGGGTACAAACTAATGTAATGTAAAACATAATTACTATTCAGCGTATACAAAAATCACTGGTGGTGGTAAAAATAAAATGGCAAACCCACTGACAAAATAGGTTTTCCAAGCATTTTTTATGTTCTAAATGTTAATAATAATTTATATGTTTTCTTTTTGTTGCAGAATCATGAGCAGAAACTTCTTGTCCGGAAATGATGAGCTCCGCAAGGGAGACTCTCTGGTGTCCAACAACGGACGGTTTAAGGCTGTCTTCCAGGTGAGTGACTCAGAATATGTGTGCACTTGAGACTCTTATCAGGATTCATGATACAAATGCAATGATCTCAACAAATGTTAAGGCAAAAATATGAGAACATCAGTTTTGAAAGCGCACAGTTAACAGCCAGACGTCTCTGTTTCTGCTGCAGGAGGATGGTAACTTTGTGGTCTATGGCTGGACGCCTGTCTGGGCTTCAGACACTTATGGATCAGACGCTTTCCGCCTGATCATGCAGAATGACTGCAACCTGGTCATATACAACAATGGTGGCAAAGCCTTGTGGGATACCAGGTCTAACGGAGCTAAGACTGACGTGTGCCGCCTTCAGCTGACCGATGATGGCAAACTGGTGGTGAGCAAGGCTGCTGAAGTAGTCTGGACCGCTTCTAAATAAGACATGAAGTTATCCATGATGTATGTGAAAGTCATGTTTTGGAAGTCAATTTGTCACCAGTAAAACATGCCTGTTATGGGATTCAATAAAACTAAATTCACAATGCATAATGAGTTTTTCCTTCTTTTTGTAGAGGCCTATGTTCTGGCTTAATTGTGTGTTGAATCTCCCGCTTATTTGGACTCCAGGAATAGGAAAAGGAGTAGCCTTTGTATACCTAAGCTAGGGGTGCATTTACTAATGACAATAGCATTGATGTGTGTGAAAGAGGGAGACGTACATGTATGTTAAATATTTTTGGATAAGATGGAACTTTATTGATCCCAATTTGGGAAATGTTTGTGTTGCAGCAGCATAAAAAGACATGGCATTGTACAATACAAAATAAAAGACTGATTTAGTGAGTGATTGAACCATTTACCTATACAGATGGTAGAAGGAGCCTTATCTGTGATAATCAGTGGCAGGGTGTTACTGTTTGAGTTGACTTGGAAAGTATGATTCTCAAGAGAACAGAATGCTGTATAAATGATAATATTCTATGAGCCTTGCATGACAGAAGAGTCGATCAATGACCATTGTCATATCATGGCTTTATTATCTTTTGACAGAGTCACTTGTCCATAATCTCATGACAGAACATGTATAAACAAACGGTCTCTTTTTTTCTTGTTCTCATTTATTTATTCTTAACATTTATATTTATTTTCTTGAATATATGTTTTGGTTTCCTGGCAGCAATGACCATTCTAATGTGCAATTGCACAAGTCTGTAATGCAATTAGTTGATTTTGAAATGGTTATAGGAATATAAAATAAGGTTTATTTGTATTATTGATACAGCCTTATTGCTATCACTATCCATTCTATGCCTTATGTCATGGAGAGTGTGATTGTCTGTTTTTTTAACACATTTTCAAAAGAATGTCACCTAGCTAGTTACCTGGTAAACCACACCTTCTCACTAAGGTAAAAGTGTCTGTCCTTTCCTTTCTCACAGTTCTTTGAGAAGTCTTATAAATCCCTCCTGAGAGGACAATGCTAGAATTATTTAGGCTGAGTTCTGACCTTTCTGACAGAAATACAGTTTTCTGCTTTAAGTGCTGCTGACAATGAAGCACTTAGAAAATGCAGTGTTTTTGGTAAACTGACTGAAAGGTATTTTTTCTGTCACACTACAAACTTCCTGCCCATAATAATGTTGAGCTTTATGTCAAGGTTATGCATTGTCTCTCCCTTCAGTAGTGTTTTATTTGTCAGATCAATTTGGGATTAACAAAGTATATTTAATCTTAAATTCATCGGTATTTGTTGCCTGTTGAGAATGACTCAACTGATAACCACAGATTGGTACAATTCCTGGGGCACTTTCTTGTTCATGTATTCATCATTGATAGCTAGTTATTTGCTTTTCACTTTTGTCTAGCAAGATTGCAAAAAAGTTCATTCAAAAGGCACTTGCAGTCATGAAAAGGTTTGGATATTTGAAAAGTTTTTGTATATTGTAATAATGTAAGATGTAAATTATTCCAGTTTAATGGAAGTATTAAATAACGGTTTTATTCAGATACAGATCGGCAGTAGTTGATTTTCGTTATCTATTCCGGCCTCCCTCTTTTTACAGTGTTTGAGTGTCTAGCCTTGTACGTGCTATGATTGGGGTTTTAGTTGTGAGTTTTTGAAGGTTCACACTTTGAAAACTCAATATTCTCATCGTATGCTTGTTGGTCATTCCCAAATGTTTGTATTATGTCATTTGGATAACTTTCCTTCCAAATGAACATAGTGGCCAATTTATAATTAGACTGGTATTAACGATTAAGGTTAGCCTACAGAAATTGTGTTTTTTTTGTGGGGCATTTTCTTTGCATATGTTCAGCATTGATAGCTATAAAGGTATCAATACATCAATTGTTGCCAATATGTCTTTATTTATCAGACTTCAATCATCCAATCCACCAAACAACACCAAACTAGAGTCAGCAGCAAAAAAAAGCTGTTTGGCATTGGCAGAGGAGATTTTTCACATTTTTCATGGGCGCACCCCACATACACAGCTCTGCTGCTCATCCCACAAATGCTTATTCCTCACAAATGTGGTACCATTGGAAAGGTAAGAAAACAGGCTTTCCAACAGTATAAGATGTATTGCCAAAAAGTATTGTTACAACATAGACATCATCTACCAAACACAAATTGCGTTACTTTTTGTGTTCTGGCCGGTTTTGACCCTGCCTGCCTGATATTGGACCTCGAGTTACCTGCCTGCCCCCTGATTGGATTTGTTTGCCTGTTTGACGGATCGCCTGGTTCTGAGCCCTTTTCTGAGCCCTTTTCTGAGCTCTTTTCTGCCTGCCCCTTTATTGGATTTGTTTGCCTGACTGCTGGATTTCCTGGTGTTGACCCTGCCTGTCCCTGACCTGAATAAACTGAACATTTTGAACCCTAGTTGTATCTGTGTCGTGCTATTGGGTTCTAATCTGTACCTGTGAACGTGACAGATAGCCCTAGACAACAGAGAGTTTAAAGGGCCCATGTCATGGCCATTTCTACTGATCATAATTCCATTGTTGAGGTATACTAAAATAGATTTATACTGTGCAATTTTCCAAACTCACATTGGTTTCTCATACAGCATCTCTGTAAAGTATGTGTATTCACCGGTATTCACTCTCTGTCCTAAACGGCTTGTTGGAGCTCCTGCACCCCTCTCCCTGTGAGCCCAGTGTGCTCTGATTGGTCTTTTCAGCCGGGCCGACGCCTTTTCGGCCGAAAATCCGCCGATTCAACAGCAGTCGGCCAAAGGCAGTCGGCATAAGAAATCACTCTGATTGGCTGTTGAGCTAGCGAATCAGTGCATGAGAAGCGAAACGGAAGTGAGGGACCCAAACAAACTATTAAGAAGGCAAATCTGAGATTTGATTTAACTCCAGCTCTCGACACAGGTTCGGGAAAGCCCCATGAGCTTCTCGTTGTAGAGTGAAAATGGAACGCACACGCTATTTGTTGTTTGTTTATATCACGCAGTCTGTTCTTCTTCTCTCGGTTATCACGCAGTCTGTCTTCCGGTTGTTGCCTCTTTTGAATGACGAATACACACTACCGCCGCCTGCTGGTAAGGAGAGTTATTGCCACTCACGCATGCGCAGTTCGTACGTGCTTCTTAATGATCCGGTGCTCCTTTTTTGGCGGGGGGTGCGAATGCGCACCTGCGCACCAGCGCACCATGTGCAGCCCTGTTTATAACGCTGTGAGAATGGGTCTGCGGAGAGCATTTCTCTGCGATCCCAATTTAGCAGCCCGAAAAACGTTTAGCCATTTAAACAGTCGTGGCAGATACCTTGTTTGTTTTAAACATCATAAATACACAAACAACAATGAATACTTACAGGTTGTGTACCCGAATCTCCCGCTGGTCCAAACAAAGTAGGAACAGCATCGTTCTTCAGTGCCCTACGCTGTACATATCCAGCATGAATCGCTGAAAGGTTTGTGAAGCTTTGTTTCGTGAAATGCTGGCAGAGGGTGTGGCCTCTGGGTATTCACACGTCACAGTACCCAGGAAGTAAACAATGGAAAATGAGGACGGGTAATAACCGGAAAAGCATGACATGGGCCCTTTAAAGCTACAGTATCTTCCGGGTGAGTGACTCTGGATATCTTTGCACAGACACTTATCAGGATGCATAATACAAATGCAATGATCTGTACAAAACTGCATTCCAAATGTGCGTGTGGAAATGCTTGATTGAACAACCTGATAGCAGTTTAAGCCAGCAGGAAGATCTTAACTTTGTGCTCTATGGCTGGCAGCCTGTGTGGGCTTCAGACACTGCAGACCCTTTCCGCCTGTGCATGCAGTGTGACTGCAACCTGGTCATGTACAACAAGAGTGATAAAGCCATGTGGCACACAAACACACGCAAATCCGACTGCACTTGTGCCGCCTTCAGCTGACCGATGATGGTAAACTGGTGGTGAAAGAGTAAGTAATGAAGTATGGAACTCTTCAGTGAATACAAATCACTGGTGTTAATACAAATATAATAGGCAAACCAACTCACAAAACTTGTGTTTTCCAAGCATTTTCAGTGTTTTAAAGGGATATAACACTGACTTTCTTTTTGTTGCAGAATCATGAGCAGAAACGTCGGGTTACGTATTGTAACCCTTGTTATATAAACACAGGCGGA